CGATTATGAAAATCGATGTATAATGCATATAAATAGTTTATTTCACACGAGTTAGAAGTAACTGAGTCAGAAAGACAAAATCAAAGAAAAAAAAAAGAAAGAGAGAGTGAGAATGTGGGGAGACAAAGAGAAAGACACAATGGGAGGGGAGAAGGAGTGAGACGGAGAGATAAATTAAGGGAGAGAAAAGAGGGTGAGAGTGGGCGGTTACTAGTTCCCATTCTATCTAAACACCTTCTGCCTACTCTCCTTTCTCTCTCCTAATCACAATTAGCCTCCTACTATCTCTCACGCTGTCTTTGAGAAAGAGTGTGGGGTTGAGAGTAGATCCTCTCTCTCCCCACTCCTACTCTTTCTCCCCACTCTTATTCTATCATTTCCCACTCTCTCCAGACAGAAAAGGGAAAGATGGAGTAAGAGTCGGGATAGAGAAAGGGGGAGTGAGAGTGGAGAGGGAGGGAGTGGAGAGGGAGGGAGTGAGAGTGGGGAGAGGAAGGGAGTGAGAGTGGGTGAGTGGGGAGAGAGTGTGAGGGAGTGGGGAGAGAGGGAGTGAGAGTGGGGGAGAGAGAGGGAGTGGAGAGAGAGTGAGTGGGGGAAAGAGAGCGAGTGGGGAGAGAGGAGTGGGGAGAGAGGAGTGAGAGTGGAGAGAGTGGGGAGTGAATGTGTGGAGAGAGTGATAGTGGGAAAAAAAATCAATTGAACGCAATTTTTTATCGAAATGATATCGATATATACAATGTATGATACCTTGATTATCGAACGCCACCACTGACTTATGTATCTATAATTTTTTTTACTATCGGGCAGTGATTGCATTCAATAGTGGACCTAACACCATGGATGAGTTGATATTAAAAAAAAAACACTTTTCACATATAGTTGTGTCCTTCTGACCTTAGGTACGTAAGATTAGTCTTTATCTATAGCACATCTATACATCACATAATAATCACTCAATCCAACGCAATACTGAGTTATCAAAATATGACTATATATATTTACATCGTGAAAAAATTAAATCTTTTGACTAAATGTCAAAAATAGTTGACGCAATTTAATAGAAAACTGGCGCAATGCAATTTGTAATCAACCTAACGTAATTATGAGTTGAAATGATATTTTATTCAACGTAAAAAGATGTTAACTAGAATGTCATAATGAGATGACATTTTGTACTGTTAGCTTGATGCAAATGTAATGGTAGTATGTGTAAATGTCATAAAGAATTGACATAATGTAATGTTAGGTTGACACAATATTTATGTAATTGTTTCGAATTAAATGTCATGAAAAGTAAACATAACGAAATGCAAGTTGACGAAACATGATTGTAGTGTGTGTAAATGTCATAAAGAGTAGACATATTGTAAAGGAAAGTTGACACGATGCAACAGAAGTGTGGATAAATGTCATAAAGAGTTGACGTAATGTAATGGAAGGTTGACACAATGCAATTGTTGTGTTCTGCAATAGGGCAGTGACGGAGTTCCATAGGAAAGATCTGAGTTCCTCAAGTTGATAGAAAGAAAAACCGATTTTTTAACAGAGTTCCGAAAGGTCATCATTATAAAGAAGAAATCACCGCATATAATACTGTGTCTACATCATTTCGAAATGCAAAATCTACCGCACGGAATGCTAACTGGTCTGCCATAATATTTAACAATCAGCATCATCATTATAACAGCAATACTACACATAAAGATGAATATACTGTATAACTATGCAATTGCTAAGTATATAAGTCTTGGAAATAAATGTTGAAAAAAAATTTATAGTTATGATGAGCAATGGTGCCTCTTTAAAAATTGTAAGCATCTAGCTTTTAAAAACATGAAGCAAATTCAATCACTTGAAAGTTGTTGCATGATGCTCAGGTGACCTATACGGCCCATGTTGTGGGATATATCTCTATTGATAAACTCATAGTGCTTCCGTCAATGCCGCAATCTTACCGTCACCATATATCGCCAGATGATCTATGGGGTTCCGTGACGATCCGTCTAGAAAACTATGAATAATCATTCCGTCAACGCCTTTTTCCACCGTATAGTAAATCCGTACTAAGACAGCGTCTTCCATGTATTGCAACTGGTACAACATAGTTTTTCCGCAAAGCTAATAGGTACCAAAACATAATATACCCGTACTCACCCCAACCTTAAGGATAAATAACTCAAACTTTTTAGGTCACCTAAGTAAACTCAGTAGATTCTCGACCCACCAAACCAATTTCAACGAAATTAGGTATACAGCATCTATGGGTGATGGGGAACAAAAATTTTGAATTGCATGGTCCCTGCCCCCCTGGGGCCTGAGGCGTGGTTCAAAACCACTTAAATTGATGCAGTCTTTAAAAATCTTCTTCTTTACTCATGGACATCATGCAGTCAAACTGTTGACATGATTGTAATCAGCATTGTAGTCCTCTACCAAAATTGTGAAAAATTATGGCCTCTGGGTCAGGGGTACGGTGTTAGGGCGGGGCTATATATATCATATAGTAAAAGTGCATTATTTCATTGAAAATCTTTTCTGCTCCTAGGTATTAAATAAACTAACTAAGTACATAATTATGATGAGCAAGAATGACTCTACCAAAGTTGTGAATTTCATGGCCCCTGGGTCAGGGGTTCTGGTGTTAGGGCGGGGCTCTATTGATTGTATAGTAAAAAAAACATTAATTCTTCAAAAATCTTCTTCTCTGCTCCTCGGTATTAAACAAGCTAACTAAGTACATAGTTATGATTAACAAGAGTGCATCCTCCAAAATTGTGAATTTTATGGCCCCAGGGTCAGGGGTTCTGGTGTTAGGGCGGGGCTCTATTGATTATATTGTGAAAATGCATTAATTCTTCTAAAATCTTCTTCTTTGCCCTTGGGTATTAAAGCAATAATCTATGTACATACAGTAGTTATGATGAGTAAAGATACCTCTTTCAAAGTGAATTTCATGACCCCTGGTTTAGGGATTTTGGTGTAAGGAGGGAACTCTTAAGCTTTCGATTATATAGTGAAAATGCATGAATTCTTTAAAATCTTCTTCTTTTCTCCTGGGTATTAAACAAACTAAGTAAGTATATAGTTATGATGGGCAAGAATGTTTTTTCTAAAGTTTAGAATTTTGTGGCCCCTGGGTTGGGGGTTGTGATGTTAGGGCGAGGCTTTATTGATTACATAGTGAAAAATACATAATTGTTTCTTCAAAAATCTTTTTATCTGCTTCTGTGTATTAAACCAATTAACTATGTATATGTACATAGTTATGATGAGGAATGATGCCTCTTTCAAAACTGAATTTTATGGCCCCTAGGTCAGTGGTTCAGGTGTTAGCGCGGGGCTCTAATGATTATATTTAGTGAAAATGCATGAATTCTTTGAAATCTTCTCCATTGCTCCTAGGTATTATGCCAATGATCTTAGTATATATATTTATGAAGAAGAAAGGTGCATCTAGCAAAATGATTAATTTCATGTTCTCTGAGTCAGGGGTATCGGGGGGGGGGGTTAGGGGTTAACAGTACATAGTCTGAAGATATATGTGGCCCCAGGGCTCAGTGGTCCCTGTGGGATGGGGTGTACGACTGGTTATAAAATGAAAATGCATTTTCTCTTTCTTACTTTGATCTAATTCTGGGTATTAAGTAACTAGAGTAAGTATTCTAAGTGTATAATAATGATAATTGTGAATTTTATGGCATATGGTTTAAAACACGAACTAATGTCAATTTTTGGAAAGTTGTTTCATGGTACTCAGGTGACCTGTAATGCCCTCGGGCCTCTTGTTTTCAGAAATCAGCTATATTTCTCATAAATTTACATTTAAATTGGTAACCTGAATAATGTTTACCAAGTTTATTTTGATGATTTTATAATTATGGTTTTGTCATAAGGTTAAAAACTGTGCCAAATTTTGTATAGAATTATAAGGAAAGCAAAACAAAGTCTAATATCTATAGAAAAACACAAAAGAAAACCTACGATTTTTTTTATATTTCAGGAATTTATTGTTCATGTCATTTCATACTAATTGAGTCAAAAAATATTATCAATCCATGCATCATTTTTTTGTTTGTGTTAAGTACCCTTAAGCAGACTATAAAGGAATTACACATCTTAAATACTCATTAATGATAAACATTTTTCCAGTGCATTTTCTCTGAAATCTTTGTATTTAGTTTTATTATATTATTGGTTTAAAAACAGTTGTTTGCGATTAAAATATGTAACATCCAATGTGTATATAAAAAAAACATTTATTTCGTGCATGAAAAACACATTTAGCGTAATTCAAAATGTGATATTTCCTCTCAATATTTTACCTGTTGATATCAGTTTAGTACAAGATTTTACAATTGGAACGATTTTACCTTTTTTTTAAACCATAACATGATTTTTAAATCAAAATTTTCAGTGCCTTACGAAGTTTTGAATTTAAAATCAAATACCGGTATTCAGTGTCTTACGATATTGTTTTGTCCATTATTTTCTTTAAGCCATTAACAATTCAAGTCAATGTCTTTTTCACAAATAAAAATGTATGTTTATCTGCCAAATATCAATTTGAGAAGAAAATGCTTACAAAGAAGGAGAAAAAGAATATTTAGCCACATTTGCACGATTCGCTATAAAAAGAGTAAAAAAATCGATTTCAGACTCTCCTAAGGTTGTCCTTGTTGGAGGAAACAGTACAAAGACTGGTTTGATAGAGTTAACAATAGAGGGAGAAAGAGGATACATTCCTCCTGTAGGTCAAAACGAAGCCAAGGTTATTTGTCGACAACTTGGATATACAACGTAAGACGAACGTCAAATACGTGACATTTTCTAAATGATCCAATTTCTGTAAAATTACAATTTAGATTTTGACATATTGTAGTATATATGGCTGCATTCTGTTGTATCATATTGCTTATTAATTCCTTTATCTAATGTTAATGTTACAAACAAAATATTTATAATGAACATTTGATTTGAACTGAAAGAAATGAACTTAGAGAATGACAGGACGTAAGTATTTTTGCTATTTTTCAGAAATGTAGCTTACTTTGAGGGATCTAAGCATTTCCCTCCAAGTATGCTCGTCGCTGGGCATCCTCAATTTCCTGTACTGGTACAGAAGAAAGTGTTTTTGATTGTTCTTTGATTATCGATGGAACATTCAAAACGGAACAATATGCTTATCTTTCCTGTGAAGGCAAGAACTATTTGTTTTATTTTATGACGTTATTACTTTCAAATTAGGACTGTTTTGAAATGTTCAGCATAAGCATCTCTTACATAACCTCTAATATTCAATGATGGATCATTAAGATTGCTCATTTAAATGGTTTGAAGATGTGTTTTGTTCTTAAATGATATGTGTACTGATAAGAAAAAAGAGTAGTAGTCAATTTGTATTTAATTCTTTTTCAGACTCCTTCACACTCAGTGTTATAAATGGTCTTGCTCAACACCAAGGGACGCTTCGCCTATCACTTGGAAATTTACAAGGTTATATTCACCAGGAGAATTCTAATCACTGGAAAAGACAGGAGGCAACAGTTGCTTGTCGGCAACTTGGATTCCCTACGAAATGAAGATTCCCTCTAAGGGTTTCTTTTTAGTTTTTGATCTATTAAAAAGGCGTAAACACTCCTAGCTTCCACTTTTTGCTATGTATTTTAAACCATCATACAATATCAACTTTTCTCATTAAAACTGATACTGATATTCATATTAGTCAATAACGATATGTTAAGGGAATATAATTCAATACTAAAAAATAAATTTGCATAAAACATACATATTTCGAAATATATATTGGCCCTATTGTTGCCATATCAAAAGTGGTGCATGTTTATAAACGTTTGTAAACAACAATGGCAGCATTTGACTTATCACCTTAATGAACTTTTATTTCAAATAATGTTAAATATATAACTTGAATCTTTTGTCTTTATTGCCAGATTTAAAGCCTTCGCTTATAATCATTTTGGACGTAAAACAGGATGGAGGCTGATTAGTTCTGTTTCATGTCTTGGAAATGAGAGGGTTTTAGGACAGTGCGCAATGAATTATGGACAGGGAGAAATGATATCAACCGAGTTCCAAGGAGTCATATGCACAGGTAACAAGTAAAATATATATACCGGAATTGAAATGGTATCCTACTTAAACAATTTGGAAAATTCTGTAAGCATACGGACTTGTTAGGTTTTCCAATTTGCAACAAAGCAGTCTTGAGTAAAGAGAATATTTTAAAGGATGATAAAGTAGAGATGCACTGTGGCTGTAAGGACACACATTAGATACAATATTTAGTGCTCAATCAAGTTACTTCAAATAAAACTTTGAAAAGGGAAGGTTTTGGTATAATATGGAGGTAAAGGTATAACATTGCCATATGTAAGAGAAAATTTTAAAGCTATATATGGCGTATGTACAATGAAAATTATTAGACTAAAATTATAAGAACTTATTATTTGTATCGTTACTTCATATAAAGATATAACTTTTCCGTAAATTACAAAATCTAAGTCAATTGCGTTATAAAGATATCACAATTTAATTTGGATTCTCGGAATTTTCTCCGACTCGGAAGAAAATACAAAAGATTTAAATAACACGTTACAGAGAAGATAAATTCGTATTATTCGATGAAACGAGGTGTTTTCCGTGTTCCGAATTGTACGAAAAGCTTTAATTTAAATGTACTAACTATATTTCTTTACTTAATTTTGTATTTTTGAAAAATATATTTTTGATCAGTTACGCCATATATGGCTTTAAAGAAATCTTGTAATCAGAAGGATTTGATACTAGTAAATTAATAACCGTACATCATTATATAGTAAAATTTTAATTAAGTCATGGTCCCTGTTTCAAGGGTATGACGTAGATGGAGTTCATGTTTGATATCGGTATATGCAGAATAAGATATCAAAATCTTAACAACAACCGAAATGTACGAAAGGAAATTAAAAACATATATTTTTTTTAAATTATGAGCAGCTTTATAATAGAATTATCATACCCCATGCAACAAGTTGCGTGAGGTATAATGTTTTTGACCCGTCAGTCAGTCCGTCAGTCCTGTTTTTTTTTTTTATCAGCGCAGCTCCTCATAAACCGCTGAACAGAATTTTGTCAAACTTCGCAGTTATTTAGAACACAATGTGTAGATGTGCATATTAGAAGGAAATTTCGATTCCTTTATTTTTCCGAGAATTTTCGCACTTTTCAACTTAGATTTTTGCCATACCTTGAATATAGAGATGAACAGTTTGTCAGCGCAACTCCTCATAAACCGCTGCACAGAATTTCGTTAAACTTTGCAGTTATGTAGGACACAATCTGTAGATGTGTATATCACCAGGAAATTCCGATTCCTTTATATTTCCGGGAATTTCCGCACTTTTCAACTTAGATTTTTGGCCATACCTTGAATATAGAGATGAACAGTTTGTCAACGCAACTCCTCATAAACCCCTGCACAGAATTTCTTTAAACTTTGCAGTTATGTAGGACACAATCTTTAGATGTGTATATTACCAGGAAATTCCGATTCCTTCATATTTCCGGGAATTTCCGCACTTTTCAACTTAGATTTTTGGCCATACCTTGAATTAAGAGATGAACAGATTTCAGCGCAACTATTCATAAACCGCAGCAAAGAATTTCGTCAAACTTTGCAGTTATTTCGGACACAATGTGTAGATGTGCATATTACCAGGAAATTCTAATTTCTTTATTTTTTCCGGGAAATTCCACACTTTTCAACTTAGATTTCTGTCCATACCTTGAATAAAGAGGGATTTCGTCAAACTTTGCGGGTATTAAAGACACAGTTTGTGTGTGCATTAGATGTGCATATTACCAGGAAATTGGGATTCCTTTTATAATTTTGCCTGCAATTTCAGCACTTCGAGTTTGGGTGGAGCGTGGGGTATGTAAGCTTGCTCACCTTTTCTTTCATTATCATTTGATAAGATTATGACGTACCTTAAACCATTCATAATTTTTTGTCATAAAAATGAATAGAAAAAAGTTTTAAAAGATTTCTTCATGATTAAAAGAATTAATACATTTATTTATTATTATAATAAATACAGGTATGGACGACTATGCAGTCCGTTTATCAGATGGTCAGTACGACAGAGGTCGAGTAGAAATATCAATAGGAGGAACCTGGGGAAGTGTGTCATCCTCCAGCGTCTGGTCATCTGGCAAAAACGCTCAAGTTATCTGTACCCAACTGGGATTTCATTCGTAAGTATTATCAAACTGACTAAATTTTTATGTAATAAAAGCACTTGTTACTTACAAAAGCTTATTAAAAATCAGGGTCGGCAGACTGAGAATTTTAAATAAAAAAAATGTAAAAATGAAGAATACAGAAAGTGTAATGTAATACTTCTTCATATTATTACAGTAAATGTTTGAATTTTTAAAAATAATTAAAGTTTCAGAAATGAAATCCTATGTCTCTGAATGTTTTATTGTAATTTACGATTTCCTGTAAGTACTTGCCCTTTGCTTAATCAAAAGCGATCCTTTTCATTTTTAGCGGAGTAGCCATCACCAATGGAACATACCTTCGCGGATTAGGTCCGGTCTGGATTAGAGATTTAAATTGTGCTGGCCATGAGAGATCAATACGTGACTGTTCCTTTACAATTAATGGAACAGATTTATATTCCAGATCATCTACACCTGATGTCGGCGTCATTTGTCTCAATCAAAGGTTTACACGTAAGTCCCTCATTCACCAAAATTCTTAACACCTAAGTCCCTCATTAACTTAAAAAAGAACAAGATAGGGTAAGACCCCTTTTTGGCCCATGGTTTTTGGTGTCTTTCAGAATGATGCAACTGTTTATAAATGAAAACCTGTTGTCACCCCTGCCACAAAACGAGCATTGGTTCTAAGTTTTGGAATACACAGAGGGGTCAGAAAAAAAGGTCAATTTTCGAATTTTCTCATTTTTATGCGAATTTTCATCGATTTACATCACATTTTGTTTTTTCGGAAAACATGGAGCACAAGCTTGCCTATCTGCCAAATTTATTTATTTCATACACTAGCATTAGACGATTCTTGTGTATAAAAATGTCAGATAGGCACGCGTGTGCTTTATGTTTTCCGAAGAGAAATATTTCTCAAAAATAATCCCATCAAAATTGAGGAAATTCGGAAAACGTTCTACTTTTGCACCCTCTATATAGTTGCTTCCATGTAAGTTTCGAATCAAAATTAGTGCTGGTTTTAGAGCAAGCATAATTTTAAGTTCTTAACTACAAACTTTCAAATTTTACCAGTGTTCTGATTTTTACATCAATTATGGGGCCAGATTCGACCGTTACCCTACCTTGTCCTTTACACGTTTAGTGTCAAGTTGCAGACCTCCAAGGGCAAATGGTGGCGGTGCAATATGAGGGAGATATTTTCGGAGCCACAAATTAACTAAATTTTGCTGTGATTGAGTTGGCCTTGCGAACATTGTGAACTGATGGAACATCTTTTGGAAAACAGGCATAATAATTAAAAGATAATTTAAGTAAATAGTACAATGATATTAAAGCAGTTTTCTTTTTTTTTTCAAGTATAATACGAATATTTGTTAACATTGAGGATAGTTCAATGTGTGACATAATCAGTTTCAGGCTTTTGTCTATATGTATAAAGTACTGATTAAAATATTTCTCAGGTGTTAAAAGTCAGAATAAATTTATAAAATATCAAACAATTACAGTTCAGCTTCATATAATTTTAAATTATTAGATCTTTTGAGGCATGCATGTGGGCAAAACTAAAACAAATAAAGATTTATTTCATCTGTAGAAAAAGATGGTTTAGTGCTTCTCATTAGTATTAGTGAAAATACTTCAAAATGTAAATTTAAGGTAAGTCACTCCTGAAATTTGTTATATCAAGGATTTTTTGAGAAGTATATTTTGGATAAGTACTCATAAAGTGTAACTCAAAATCGCAAAGAAAATAGGGAGTCAGTGTGCATCCTACTGATCTACGGTACATTTAAGTTGACCTTTTTGCACTTAAATTTCATCTCTTTGGTTAATTACTTTAACCCTTATTATATTTGATTAGATGTAAGCATGGCAATAAATATAACCTTATTTTACGTAAAATAGTTTGAATAATATTTATCATTAAACAAATCTTGCAAATTAATGCGCGTAAATTATTGTGTGACCTTTTTGCACTAAAAAATAACATAATTTGGGTATTAAAAAACTTAATAGGCAATAAAAAATTTTCTTATATCAAACTTTTTACGACTTGAGTGCTGATCAGTCACAAGTATCGAGTAGTTTAAAATAATGAAAGAAAAAGGTGGGGTCAGTGATGTTAATTTTGAAATATTTGTCAAAATATGTGATTTTCAGGCAAAAAATGGTGTAACTTTGACCTTGACTTCTTTAATATATTTTCATTTTTTGGAAAAGTTTGTTGAGGGAATGTGTAAAACTTAGTCTATAAATATAAATTAAGACCTATATTAAATATTTTTAGCAATATCAAAACGGAAAATATTCTCCGAGTAAAAGTATGTGAGGCTAAATTTCCATTACATTAAATTTTATAAATGTGCAGATTTGCAGAATTTTCTGCTAAATATCCTTCCACCAAAAGAAATAGTCCCTCATAAATCTTGCTTCTTTGTAGATTTTTGAGCAGTTTTTTCATTGAATGTTAAAAAATTTACATTGTTGAATTCAAATATGTTATAAAAATTGAATTTTGATAAGTAGTTTTTAAGGAAAAGCTTCTGAGTGAACTTTTCTAAAAAGCTGACGAGTGACTTACCTTAAAGTATTTTTCTCACTTTTACCTTATTTTCAGTGCCTGTAAAATGTAAGAAAGTAAATTGTAAGCCTCAAACTAATCATTGTGTCAGCTATGTTCAATATCTCATCCGAACTAACATGTTTCGAATCGTCTATTTTGATATCTGAAATAATAAACGGTTCGACTTACGAGGGTTATCCAAAAGTAATGTTTCAACATTGATAAAATTGCTATAAATCGACGTGAAGCAACAGAATTATACATGATGGAAGCTTTATTTATTTCAAATCAGACCTAAAAAATCAAAAGGAATATGATGTATACTTTCCAAACTATCGGATTTTAAACATTGTGCGTTTATGGTAGTCGCCACACCTAAATATAACGTCATATGACGGACATGCATCGTCATACTTTTAAAAGCGTTAACCTTCGTTTCATTAAAAAATATTTGTCAGGGGCGTAGCATCCGGGGGGGGGGGCTGCCCCTTTTCCCAACCTTACTCACACTATAAGGAATGTTATTTGAAAGCCTAAGTATAAGAATTGGTACTAAAAGTAGTTGACAACGAGAAAAATTTAACCTAACCCCCCCCCACCCCCCCAATGAAATAGTATTTTCGACTTTGGGCAACTTCCCCCCCCCCCCTTTTTTTTTGCTTGTCAACTTTTTCAGGTAAGTAAAAAAAAACTTTTTCTCTGCCCCCCCCCCTTTCAAAAACGATGCTACGCCACTTTTTGTGATTCGCAAATCCTTTAACCAATTCCACTTTCTTTAAGAATTCTTTGTACCATTATAAACTCGCTCTTTCCATAATTAAGCCTCCTGTCAAATTTTTAAACTTTAGCATAAGACAGACTTAAAAATTCACATGTATCTCTATACGTCTGTCTTCTTTGACAACATCAGACACCTTTGCACGTTTCCGATCGATCTCCTATCCCTCGGTCTCCTATCCCTCGGTCTTCTTGTTCTCTGCTTATCATTCAGTGACCAATCTCTCGCCCAAAATTGCTGAAACCATCTATTAAGATGTCTCTTACATTCTTATTCTTTAAGTCTCATTAGCTAATGTAACTGTCGCTTGTGATGATTCCCTTATTTTGAAGCAAAAACTTTTATCCATATTGATGTTACAACTCGTCGAGCCGTTTTCCCCCCCATTTCGACAATCCCTTTGTTCAATTCAACAGAGTTAAACAACAATGTTTATGATCACAAATACCAATGCCGTCATTTAATTTTCAATTAAAGACTAGAAATTGTGATTTTTAAAAATTAGAAGATAAGGTGCTTTTTTAGAATCTTTTTAATGTGTTTGTCTTTTTATTCTAAGAAAAAATATACTTGAAAACGTGACGTTCCGTTGTGACGCGGCGACACCCCTTATGCCCTATGTTTTAATCATCTAGAAAATAAATTCAAATAAACATTATTAAATCAAAATTTCAATGTTAAATTTAAATTTATATTTGTGCAAATTTTGGTATATTGTATTTGATAATATGACGCAAAATATAAAAGATATGGACCTGTGACATTACTTTTGGATCAACCCTCGTATAAATACAACTTAATTCTCTATTTTGTACCAGAGGTGACTTCATCTACGAAAATTTTGAGGTCGTCACAAACTTCACAAGAAAATGTTCCAACTACAGAAAATGTATTGAAACCAAATAATACAACAGAAGGAAATGAGGAGACATCAGATGAAACAGACAAAGAAGAGGAGATTACCAGTGATAATACGGGATTGTTTGTGGGCATCTCTGTGGCAGCTCTCTCTGTCGTCTTTTTCATTGTTCTAGTTATATGCTGGAAATTGAGAAGTACAGATAAAAAAGGTAAAAATGATTTGATTTTATTGTATTAAGTATTCAAAGGAAAGGGTAAAGTCACTATTTATGCAATAACGACTAGCACTCCAGTCCTTGTAAAAGTTACTAGTATTTCAACTTTACCTTCTTCAACTTTGCTTTATTTATGTAGTGTTATCCCATTATCACCTGCAAGTGGTGTTTACATCTCCTTAATTATTTGATACTCTTATAAGGGCATGCCACGAGTACAATCAATTTTTCTAATCAAGACAGGCTAATGATAGATAAGTTGATCTTCCAGGTACTCTGAAGTTGCCAATCTTTAAATAATGCCCTTATGCACATGTAACCTATCATTGGGTAGTATCTTGGCTAACCTACTTTATACCGATTGTTAGGCCTTGATTTTTATGCCGAATTGAGGATGCTTACACCTCCTCGCTCGGCATCTGATGGAGTTTTGCATTGTTAGTGGATTTTTTTTTTACATTGATTACTGTTTTTTAATTTCTAAACTATAACTACAGAGGAAAATATTTAGTCCTATATTATTTTCTATACTACTCATGTACTATTACGCATAAACGTAAATTTAACTTAATTTCTTTTCTGTTTCTTTTTAAAATTATACATTAGATGCCAGTTTGAGTACCGATGTTCGAAAGAAAAGGTGAGTACAGTTTTTTTAGCTTGAAAATATAAACATACCAAGCAAATAAACCTCATTTAATATTTTTTTCACTGCCTATTTGTAATGAAAATGAATTCTTAAAAAAAAAAAAATTTAATTTCTCGAGAATAAAGTTCTATAAAAGCTTTACTCTGATTATTCCCGAAAGGACATTAAAGATACACCTACGGCAGTCTAGCTGTTTCAAAAAATCTTTCTTATAATTTCTCATTCGCAGCTCAGCTACAAATAATTGAAATAATTTAAGTAGAAAAATTTGAACACAGTATATAATAATTTTGGGTCTTCATATGGATGAAAGTTGTAATTAGTCGAGTTTTTGGGTAATCTTCTCTCAGATCTTGTCTGCCTTTCTGATTTTTTGCTCTTTGATTTTGTCTGACTTCGGTCGAGTTTTTTTCCCACGTATCCGCCTTGCTCTTCCTGATTTTTGTCAAGTTTCTTATACTCAGATTGAGGGAGAGTTTGTCTCTTTATCTGTGTCTCTCTAACTTCATGTCCGTGTTACAAGAATCTTAATGTGTTTTTTTTTTCAAAATATTTGTGCTAATATTTGTGCTTTAGTGTCATATAAACCTATGATGAAAATTGTGACCTAACTCTGTCTTCAGAGACAATGTTGTTCTCTGATAAAATGACGATGTTTGTTACGAAAGCCAAGAGGGCTCATTCGAGATTCAAGTTTCGAAATACGAAATTCGAAATTCAAGATTCGAAATTCGAGTTTCGAAATTCAAGATCCAAACTAACCAATCAAAAGCGGGTTCAACTTTTGATTACTTCCCTTTGTTACGTTTTTATATTTATAAAAATGGATCATTTGCTAAAATGATAATGCAAGAAAAAATGTTTTATGTATTAAAACGAAATAAAAATAAAATTTGGATTACATTTTGAAAAATACATATATATATATATATATATATATATATATATATATATATATATATATATATATATATATATATATATATATATATATATATATATATATAATGTTATTTTTCTAATTTAACAAAATAGTAAATACGTATATATGGAATATTATATGGTCTTATAGTTGATTTGCTGATTAAGTAGGTTAACCAATTTTATTTCATCAGATCATTGCTGATGGAGAATGTTGCATTTAATTAAAATTAGATATGAATTATTATGAATCGTATCTACACTGCATAATATTTTAAGGGTATATATTTCTTTACATTTATAGAGGGTACATTTGTGCAGTGAGACTTGACTGCTGAAGCGTTATATAAGGTTTTATAAGAGTATATTTTAGTCTTTGGCCATAAAGTTATGGCCAGAGACTAAAATATAACACCATAACGCTATATAGTTCTGCATCTAATTTAGACTCATCTACTATCTGATATAAGATAAAATAAATGCCGCATTTATTTTAATTCATATTGCAAAGCTGTATTGTAGATATAATTTTTAATTAATTCAAGAAATCAAAGCCTTAGATGAAGATAAGTAATTAAATACTTAATTTTTATGTATTTCCTCTATCAGGAAAACGATCGCGATTTTTCTTTATCAATACTACGTCGTCTTTCAAGTTTCAAGCCTTTCGGTGTGTTGGGAAAAATTGGTTGGCGGGGTGGGTAGGGGTGGGGTTATTGTTAACCTTTAGACATTTACCACGTATTCATAACTTTATTTTTATGTCATCAACCCCGTAAACAAAGTAGACAGTACAAAAATATATATATTCCTGATATATGTATTCTATTTAATATTTAAAAAGCTATAATATAAATTGAAGTGTATCTTGCTGATCAAAAATCCAATGATTATTTTAATTTCCTTCTTATATAAATAACACTCTTTCTTGCATTGTAATTTTATTAAATGACTTATTATACCCCCGCTTGAAAAGCGGGAGGGTATATAGTAATCGTTAATTCCGTCCGTCCGTCTGTCCGTCCGTCTGTTACGCTTTGGGGTACCCATCTCTTATCCGCAACTCCTCTCATACCACTGAATGAAATTTGATGAAACTTTCACAGAATCTTTATTACATATTGCCATTGTGCACTTCCTATTTTACTTTTTGATCCGACACATATTTGGGTTTCCCGGCCACAGCAAAACATGCACTTTGCCATTCTAACTATATGGAGGCGGGGGTATCATTTAGTGAGCTCATCGCTCACAGTACCTCTAGTTTGTTATTTATATATTAAACGATTTCTTGATAGTAAAATCATAATAAAGGGGAGTAATCAAATCTTGAACCCGCTTCTGATTGGTTAATCTGGATCTTGAATCTCGAAATTCGAATTTTGAATCTCGTATTTCGAATCTTGAATCTCGAATGAGCCTTTTGGGAGCTTTTGATTGGTTAATCTGGATCTTGAATCTCGAAATTTGAATTTCGAATCTCGTATTTCGAACCTTGAATCTGGAATGAGCCTTCTGGGCTTTCGTAGTTTGTAGTGTCTGAAATGTGAAAAAAAAAATAATACTCGGAAAGATGACAAAAAATTACAGTGGAAATATACAAAAAAAGAATAGCAAAGAATTATTTGATTGGTTGATTAAGTAGGTAACGTTCTAAATTTTAGGTTACGTTCGTTTGTCTGACTACTATTACCTTTTTTCTACCTATACTTTTCTAAGACTGGCTCATTTGTTTGGTTCCTATTTGTTTCTCTCAACCTTCGGTCACATTTATCCGTTTGTCTCTCAGATTTTGTCGAAAAATCTCAATGGACTTACTTGAAAGATGAATAACCTTAACGTTTGAGTAATTTAGTTCTTCACAACTACATCGTTTACCTTAGCTAAATGAGAAGATAAACACTTAATTTTAATAATCGAATAATGTATAAACTATTGAAAATTTAAAAGTTTTAGATTTATTTTTCAGTGATACACATAAAGGACAGCAGTCGTCAAATGGTAAATGTTGTCAATTTAATATAAATACATCTCAAAAACACAAACCTCTTTAAACCTTTGACCTATACAAATAAAGGTGATATCTCTTAAAAATAAACATGCTAACATATGCTATAATCTCATTACAGACTTGGAACAAGCTGAGCAGAAGTGAGTATACCAGAGGTTTATAAATTTCTGACTCCTCAAGTAGTATCCAATAAATTTATCTAGATTTAGTTTTTATAACTGTATGGAAGGAGTGGACGGGATGAAGGGTCACATGATCACCATCCCAAATATTTTCATTGCCTTATTGTGAAATACTCAGTAGGACTAAACAAAGTTTTTAGTCTATGATATTAATTACGTTGAGGTGGACATATCAATTAACTATCAGAGTAGAAATCTTTTGGACCATATCAGTCTCATCAGGGTTCAAAGACATCAGCTGTTTTGGTCATATTTTGCGTTGTAGAAATGTCATACCTGTCTTGGTGTTTGGCATGATTATGAGCTCTTGTGGACAAGGACACAGATTGAGTTCTTAGGATGAGTCTGCGATATAGTTTTGCTATCAGAAATAGCATTATAATTTTGCTTATACGTAAATTCGATGTAATCAAAGGAGTGTCACGACTTATGAGTCATGGTCATTCTTAAAAAGGTCACGTTTAATTTTAGAAACAGAAATGTAAATTGAATGTAATTCTTCACCAGGTTGTAAATATAATTCTAGAATTGTATATATAGGCCTGGTTTGCTAGAAAGGTTTGTGTTGTCAACAGATTTTATCATATGAAATATGGTATGATCGTACATTTTGGTACATTAAGGACAGACGAGACGTTCCTCAATAATATATAATTTTTTCCAAGACTTTGTCATTGAACAAATACTACTTTAATATGTTTATTTACAAAAAATTGAGGTACCTTACCAGGCATTTGTGCAAGATACCAGATGATGGTATTTCTTATATAATCTTTTATGGAAAAAAATTTAGTTCGCCAGAATCACATGTTTAGAGTTTCAAATTTTTAAAAACAATTAGAAACAGGTTTAGAAATCAGAAAGTTGTTAAAATCTGTACAAAACAGAAATTTAGGAAACGTATTATCTGTGTGTGTGTGTGGGGGGGGGGGGGAATAGCAAATCTTCAAATCAAGAAATTTAAATATGATAATATTATTTTCAGGGATGTCAATGTTCAAAGACAGGATAACCCTGCTTATATGCAGGACAAAAGGGGATATAGCTCTGAAAGTTGTCCTCACAACAATTGCATTCCAGGGATGGACCTCATTCAATTTCCCGTTCAGGAGAGGTTGTATTCTACAGTCAGCAGCAACTCGTCGTCATTTGCTATCGTTACTCCAGTGCTTGATTGCTAG